CATGAAGATGAAGCGGATTTATCTGGGGCACGCAGTCGCTTCCAATATTTGCAAATATTTTACTTTTGGTTAAGATTTAGACCTGGAATTTCATACATGGCCTGAATTGGTTCGCCCGTAACAAAAACTTGAGTAGCTTATAGAATTTCGGTGATTTAGAAAGGAGACATAAATACTTAATTAAATGTCTAGCTTCTTCTTCAATAGGCAGCTAATGTTTGCATCAGCAAATAAAAAGTTGATGTAGCTCCACGCTTTCCCTGCAGTGAAGAAGTGAAACTAAGTGCTAACTATATGCCAATTTATTACTATGATTTATTCTTCTATATATGCTAACTTGCTATATGGAGCCATTGTCAAGTTTCCTCTTTTCGGTGAGGAAGAAGTGGAAGTCTCTGATGGGCGGCTCCTCGGGCTCACCCTTTGAGGTGTCGAATACATGTTAGAGCCAATCAAGTGTGGAAAATTAAGCAAAGCCCTGGCACCCCCGTATTTCAAAAGCTGCCAGGTCATAAGCCATTGCAGCATCCTCAGGTGTCTCGTATGTTCCGAGCCAAATTCTTGACCCTTTCTTGTTGGGGTTCCTTATCTCCGCGCGAACTTCCCCCACGGCCTCCGCCTTACACCTCTATACCTCGTCCACTCTACTGATGCGGGCTTTCCACGCGGCAGCTCGAACTCCATTCTCTGCTCCACCTGATCAATATTGACCAGGTTATCGGTTGTGGTAGAGGGTGGATTATCCAATATTTCTCCGCAACTTTGTGCTAGAAGAGAGGTTTCAAAGCTAGAGTTGGCATTATAGCCATAAATTGTTGCATCAAAAAAGTTGGATGCTGGAAAAATATCAGAAAATAGAGAATCATCCAAAAGTTGCTGATGTATGGAGTCAAGTAGGGCAAGATCAGAATTTGAGATGGTTTCTGAGTGCATGATTTTTAGGTTGAAGATGATTTCTGAGATGGGTTCTGCTCCTTGTTGTCAACTAATCAAAGAGCTGTGGAGGTTGGAAGCTTTGTACATTGGCGTTCTTATATACGGGAAAATTAAGCATGCAAAAGAGAGTTCTTTATCTATTCAACCACGTTTTGGAAATGGCTTTATTATTTAATCCAAAGCAGTTATTTACTAACTTTTGTGGAATTTCCAGTGAAGGTTCGGTAGCTATTTAATAGCCCGAGAATAATTCATCATATAAGAGTTAGTTTTTTATTCCAAAGATCATGAGTTAGTTTTGATAGAATGAGAGTTTTCAATTAATTGAGTTATTCCTTCTTTTTTAGTGCACATTAAGGATGATATGGATATTTGGTTTGGTTAGAATAGTGGAGTTCAAGTACAATTAAACAGCATAAAAAGTACAATTAAACAGCATAAATGGCCATTATATCATATCATGGATTAATCTTTCCTATATTGACAGTATATGTATCAGCATTTGATGAATGATAATTATATAAAATTTAAATTTAAAATTCAACTTTTACACATATATCATGAATCCAACAGTGAAGTGTATACACTGTCAGCGTATATAAGATTTACTCATATATCATTATGCTAGATGCTTTTTTTCCAGTAAATTTTTTTTTTTAGCAGGCATGGGTTCTAGGATTTGTATATTCTCAGAATACTTACTACAAGCTCATCAAATGTATGAAATTTTGCCTTATGCACTCCAATCTCTGCGGTGGCTAACTATTTAGGTGGAAACTGGAAATAGCTAGAATTGTAACTGAGGGTCAACTATGAGTGAAAACACAATCAGAATTGGTTGATTTAGAAATTCTTAAAGAGTTGATACGATTAATAGTTTAATGAACACATTGATGCTGATGCTGCTAATAATAGCATGATACTATTTGCGGAATAACAAAATTGTCTATAATACATGCCTTTTATTTAGTATTTCTTCTTTTCCAGTATGACTAGGGATTTTCTGGATAGCATTAATGGCCAAGTTCACTGTAGCTGTAGGGAGTTGTGAAAGGAATATCACCACATTGGGAGCAATAACAATACAAAATATCGTCCCCAAAATTCAACAACTAGTACTGTTACTTGGGATCTATGTTTAAAAAGATTTAGATGTCTAGTATTGAGATCTAGGGAAGGCCTCCCCAAAGATTTTGAATTTTAGTTTTGTCACGTTAAATATGAACACACACACACACACGTGTATTATGTATATATATATATATATATCATTTTTTACAGGAAAAATCAATGAGTGTGTTTGGATAATAAATTATTTGAGATAATTTTGTGAAAAAATACTATAGCACTATTTTGATGTGATATACGTGAGATAAAAAGGTGATTAAAAATATGTTGATGATGCAAGTAAATCAGTGTGTGTAAATAAGGTGGAAACAATATATAATCCAAACACACTCAATATTATTTTGTAAAAATTTATTTGATTACATCATCAACATATTTTTTAACCATCTTTTTATCTCACCTACATAAAATAAAAGAAGTGCTATAGAATTTTTTTCAAAAAATTATCTCTAATAATTTACTATCCAAACTGTAGAATCCAAAAATCTATATAGGAGATAAATTTGACAGAACCAATATGATAGGAAGGTAATTCACACACATAAAAATATGTTTGGGAGAAGAAGAATAATACCAATAATAATTTATTAATCACATCAGAAGAATAAGACTCCAATGTCTAAACAATCAAACTGCTATAACTTGACTCCAATAAAATTACTAAAACCCTACTTAACTAAAACACTACTAAATAATAATATAAAAATTTTTAATTTTAAGCCTTGATTAAATATGGCTGACACAAACATACTCCTAGCAATAAAATATATTTGGTAAAATGATGAATGATGAGAAATTATTCCGACTCCCTGTGTTTCGCATGTAAGGTCAACAAGAATGAGACATATTGATTAACAAAGTATATTAAGTAGAAAGAAAAAAAGATAAAGAACAAAAGTCTCCATGGTTACAATTTTATATGCAGAAACAAATCTTGTGAGAGATTTGAAAACGTTTTCAAAGGGAAGAAACATAGGACCTTCGTGGCACTCTTTTGCAACAGGCATGAATGCCCTTGGTCCTATGATTGTATAGACTAGTCAAATAAAACAAAGGAAAAGATGTCGCAAGGATAACTAATATGAAAGAATTTGTATCTTATACTTGGAAACCATTGGCTCGAATTCTTAATTGGAGGAAAGGTTATTTCATGAATGATCTTCCTTTCACTTTCATTATGGACACCTACTAATGAAGAATGTACCACGGTCAATTTTTTCACACCCCAACTCTTAGGTGTCATGACAAGAATCAAGAACAGATGCATGGAGAGAAGTCTCTTTTGGATGGCCAAGAGCAAGAGCCAGACTTGATGCCTGTTGGCCGATGATTTCTGAGGTCATAACACTTGCAAACAGTAAATTCTATGTCATGAATGGGTTATTCTATGGGGTGCATTAATACATCTAATCACACTCAGTCTATTATGATTTACAGAGGTGCATATACTAATAATTATTATCTCTCTTGTATTTATATTATTTTTCTAATGAATTTATATAAAAAATTTAACACTTGATTACATAGTTACAGTTTAACGAGTATCCAATAAAGACCTATCATGAATTACTTTCAAGTTTTGAATTCATTCTCTTTCCAAAATAAAGTTTTGGTTCATCGTTCTCATAAAATGTGTATATTACAATACAGCGACATCAAATTTTAATTAATTGAGAGAAGAGCATTATCCGGGGACACTAAGATTGGTTTGAAGCAAAAAAAAAAAAAAAAATTGATTCCAAATACTAGTTATTGGTTTGTGGATCTCCTGCACATTTTGTTCATGTTTTCCCCTATTATTTTCTGTTTTCTAACAATCCTAATAACTCCTTAATTATATCCTTTGAATGGTTGGAACTTATATGTGCAACACGGGACTTTGGTTGACCAAGGGTCAACTTCAAAATGGCCATTACACCAAATAATGGCTCTGCGGTTTGCTAAACATTTTTTATTCCTAGGTTTGCTTTTTGTATTTTATGTTGTTAGTGCGGGATCAATAATTGCTTAGTCATTCATAACTTGTTTGTAACGTATGGAAATAGGGGAGAAATAAACCAAATTACTCAATACTCAATCGAGTTTCGGCTGATTTGCCAGTTAATCAACTAAACTTGGACAGTAATTTATTTGATAAAATTTCAAATCTCAACTTGAGATCGGCTTAATTAGCATATAAATGAAATTTACATATAAAAGTTCAAACTACTTGACCTCAACTTAGTTTGACTCGAATCGAGTTTATTCGAGAAATAAACGATTAAATTTGAACAAAATTTTAAATTTATCAAAATAATCAAACAAATTTAAATATTAAAGTGTGGACTTCTTTTGACTCATTTATACCCCTACGGGTGAACTGCTTATTAAGTTCTACGGCTTTCGTCATAGAGTTAAGTACCACTCCTCTATAAGAAGTGTTTTAATTTAGTGAAGGATTACTTGCAATAAATCTTCTTGAAGAAACATCGAGTTATAGGCTACTCAGGGTAGACCTTTTTTGGATATTTTTTTTTTTCTTTTTTTTTTAAATGTGTACTTTTCTCTTTCAACAAATTTAAGGTGTTATTTAGCTTCAGGATTTAAGTGGATAGGATTTCTGACTGTTTATGTCACCAAGAAACCAACTCAAACACAAAATGCATCATCAAGCCTGCAAACGCAAGAATCGACAAAATGAAGGGAAATAGGATCGAGAAAACTTTTCCAGAAAATAGCAAAAACTGAATGACAGGTGAAGAGGAAAGAAACATCCAAAATAATATAACAAACCTTACCTATGCTATGCTATCAGAACTAAGTAACAGTCTCGAGGCGAAATATAAAAAGCTTCATTGTCAAGTGCAAACACACAAGATCCCAAACAAACAAAATTTATCGAAGTAAAATTCCAGTATCATTCATCATCAATAGCTTTAAAAAAAAAAAAAGTGAAGGGCTGCATTGTATTTGTATCAGCAATTGTAGTTTTAGCCTTGGTTCAGCTGATGATTGAGCCAGGGCAGGCAATCAAGTGCCCAGAAGTGGATGGATATTTGACCGGGTGCCTTCCCTATCTTAGTGCAGGTGGCGAGCTTTCACCAGAGCCAGCATGTTGCAGTGGTGTCAAAAGCTTGATAGCGGCTGTGAAAACGCCGGCGGACAAAAGGGACGCATGTAATTGCGTTCAAGAAGCCGCAAATCACTTCCCCAGTCTCAAGGATGATGCTGCCCAAGCCCTTCCTAGAAAATGTGGTGTTACTCCTCGATATCCCTATCTCCAAAAGTGTCAATTGCGACAAGTAAGTAACTTTACTGTAGAAATGATTAAATTAGATTAATTAGTGCTAAATCTTAGGATTCTGCTAATACTAATGCTTATATTGACAGCTTAAGTTAAGATCACTGAAGGAGTCCACATTGAGCAAGAATAAAAAGAGGGAGAGTTTGTGGAATGGGACATCTGGTTCCAATTCTCTCTTCTTCTTTTTTTTGGGTCAAAACATCTGGTTCCAATTCTCGCGGCAACATATAATAGTACAATAAGTTTTTTTTTCTTTGTACGAATAAAATAAGCCTTATCCAGCTTCTTAATCATATTGCTTCTGAATTTTCTCTGAATTAGTGACTTACGAAGAAGTTGGGCATGTCCACATGTGAAAATACACAGGCACGTTGGTCGAGTGGCCTATTTGTCTATTACATACATAGTATCGTTCAACATTGAAGATTGTTCCTTGCTTTCACTTCTAGGAAGCTTTGACTAGTCACGCCCGTCTGAACTATGAATCACATGTGTGTACGGGATTAATAGGTTTTTTTTCCTTTAAACAAAAGGGGTACTATTTATATGTCTTTGGCACAGAAACCAATATCATTTCTTATTCAATTCCAGAAATAGGAATCCTAGAAAGTGGACTGATTTGGGATAGGTAGCGTGGAGAATGATCATGGCAAGGGCAGAACTACTAGAGTAAAGAACCCCGAGAGAGTAGGAAAATCTCTTTTTTGAATAGTTTGCCCGTGTATTCGCATGGATCGGTGGCAGTTCAGTTTTCTTCAAGTTTTTTTTTAATCTCTTTAAGTCTTCCTCTCTCCCTAGTATAGAGTAGAAATATGTATAAAATAAAATTTATTGTATATAAAAAAAAGAGTAGGAAATGCCAGTATGGGAGGGAACCCACGATTTGACTTGAACTATAGCTTATATAACAAAGACATGTATAATTGTTTGGATAGTGTATTATTTGAAATATTATTTGGAATAATTACTGTAGCACTTTTTGTAATGTGATGTATGTGAGATAAAAAAGTGATTGAAAATATAAAAATGTGGGTTGAGAAATGTGTTTATGATGCAAGCGAAATATTATTTTTGGATAAAAGCACTATCCAAACAAAAATACATGTCATAAACAGTTATACTTTTAACACGGCACCATTAATTGAGAAATGAATTCACTATGTTATATTAATTAATATATATTTTCATTTTATTGTTATGAAAGTTTCACAAATTTGAATTTAATTCAGAAAGAGTTTGCCCATGCTTCCCAGGAAAGGTATGCATTCGCTACTAATTAAGGTCACTGCGAGTTCAGTAGGTAAAGTACAATATTTCTCAAAGATGCTCTAATTTCGACAATAAGATGAGACAAATTATCCAGGCTCACCACATTTCACAATAATATGACATCATCGGGACAAACATTTAAAATTTGCTAAAGACAAAATTGTATGAATTTAATCTGTGTTCTCTATATCATAAGATTTTATTTTTTCTAAATTTGGTTTGAAATATTTTTATTGCTCTAGCAATAATAGAGATTCTCATGATAATGAAAAGGGGAAAAAAAACTAAGAAAGCATCAAATTCACGTGAATGTCACGTGTTTTATTACTAGTAGTAATAAAGAACTACTGAAATTTAATATTAACAATCTTGTAATATACTAATTTGTTCCAGATTGCTAAAAAAAAAAAAAAGAAAACGTTGTTCCAGCTAGCTAGAATCTAGATGGAGGCATTGGCAAGTTTCCTCTTCTTCGGAGAGGAAGAGGCGGAAGGCTCTGGTGAACGTCTCTTCGGGCTCACCGTTTGAGGAGTCGAACACATGTTAGAGCCAATCAAGTGTGGAAAATTGAGCATAGCCCGGGCACCTCTTATTTCAAAAGCTGCCGTCGTAAGCCATGGCAGCTTCCTCAGGTGTCTCGTATGTTCCCAGCCAAATTCTTGACCCTTTCTTCTTGGGTCCCTTATCTCCGCCGCGAACTTCCCCCACGGCCTCCGCCTTACGCCTCTATACCTTGTCCACTCTGCTGATGCGTTCTTCCCACGCGCCGCCGCTGACCCTTTTCTGTCCTCTTCCTGCTCATCAATGTTGACCAAGCCATCGGTGGTGGTTCGGTGTGAATTATCCATGTTTGGCAGTGTTTCACCGCAACTTTCTGCCACAAGAGAGTTGTTGAAGCTAGTGTTTGACTTAAAATCGTCAATAGTTGCATCATGAGAAAAGCTAGGAAAAATATCAGAAAATAGAGAATCATTCAAAAGCTGCTGGTTTATGGAATCAAATAGGGCAAGATCAGTGTTTGACATGGCTTCTGAGTACATGAATTTCCAGTTGAAGTTGAAAACAGAGATGATTTCTGAGATGGGTTCTGGTTCTTTTGGTTAGCTGATCAAAGAGTTATTGGAAGTTAAAAGCTCTGTACATCGTTCTTATATATATACAGAAGAAGAAATTAAGCATGCAGGAAAGTTCGTTATTGTATTCGTGAATCACGTTCCGGAAATGGCTTTATTAATTCAATTCAAAGACGTTAATATATTAATTGTTATTTGTGGAATCTCTAGCGAAGGTTCACTAGCCATTTAAGACCCAACAGGATAGCTTAACATATAACTTTATACTCATTTTTTCTGATTCAAAGAATCACTTTGAGGTTTCTCACTCAAGATGGCATGACATCATAGTGATGATGAATTGGTTTTGCAAGAATGATTTTTTTTTTTTAATTAATCGTGAGCACTTCCTTCCTTTCTGTCGATTGAGGGTATGGAATTTTGGTGTGGTTAGGACAATGGACTTCAAGTATAATTAAACAGCTTGAACAGACATTATACTATCTTTTTTTTTTGTTTTACAATCCCTCTCACCTTACCATCAGACTTATAACCCTTCTCAGACATTATATTACACTCATCTGTCTCATTGTTCGCTAAGGTAGAAATGCAATTAGAGAGTAGAGAGTCAAGCAAACACAATCAGAATTACTGGATTTAGAATTCTTAAACAATTGATACCATCAGTAGTTTATTGAACAACTGCACTGCTAATTTTGGTGATAGTACTATTTGCTAACTAACAACAATGTCTATGACACATTTTTTTTCCCTTTAGCATTTTTTTTATGAGTTTAGCTAATGGATGTCCGTTGGGTACTCATTAAAAAGTCTAAAACAGTGAAATTAATTCAGAAAATTTTTTTCAAAAATTTGTCAAAGAGTAAGGGAGATATTCAATGTAAATCAGTGCATATGTGCATCTAGGTGATTAGTTAGGTATACTAATGAGTGCTTTTCTAGTTTAACACTACATTTACAGGACAATATTAGCGGCCAATTCTACGGTTCTCAGGTTGATTGATTTTTTTATTGCTCTCCATGTTTTAACTCATTCTTGATTAAATCCCCGAGAGAAAGCAACGATATCTAAGAAGACGTCACCTAAGATTTTGAAAATAAGTACAAAGTGAGAAAATAGATTAAGTAATTACTCCTGCAAGTTTATAAAAGAAAATAGGCTTTTGCCACCGAATCTTCAAATTCTTGGCCTGTATATTTAAGCAGTGTAGGCCTAACTTGCAATCAAACCTGCACCTTTTGTTTCATTAAGTGGTCAACCCACGTTTTGCACAAGGGGTTGATTTGTTGAGAGGATCTGTAGAGTTACCAATACTTAGTAACATGATAAAGGATGAGAGATAAACCTTCTTCTTCCTCGTGGTGGTATGCAAAGTCAACTAGCATGTTAGCCAACAGAGAATAATTAAGTAAAAGAATGCAAAGGACAAAGGCCACAATGCTAGCATATTTTCTGAAAGATTTGACAACGTTTTGAAAAGGAAGAAACATAGGGCCTTCGTCGCACTTTTTTTATATCATGATGATGATATAAACTATTTACAAACAGAAGACGCAAAGGCAGCTACCACTAACCCTCGGTCCAAATTCTTAATGGAAGGAAAAATTAATTCACGACTCGTCTTAAGAATGTAGCAGCACGTTCAATTATTCTAACCCGAACCTGTAAGCGGCATGACAAGAACAGCTGCGCAGAGAGAATAACCAGAGTACCCTTTTGGATATCTGGCCAAGAGGAAGAGCTAAAGTTTGATGCTTGTTAGCATATGATTTTCCGCCGGTTTAATTCCACTTTACACCCTTCAACTATAATTAAATTTTCACTTTAGTCCTTAAACTTAAAAATGAGACACTCTAGTCACTAAATCATAAAATTTATTTCACTTAAGTAACATCATTAAAGAAATGAGACAGATTTTATACTTAAGTGGGTATACTTTAGGGACTAAATTGGGGCAAATTTTATACTTTAAGAAATCAAATGGACAAATTCTATATTTTAGGGACTTAAGTATTATAAACTTTATACTTTAGGGACTAAAGTGCTCCCTTTTAAAGTTTAGATACCAAAGTGAGAACTAACCCTTCAATTAACCCTTTTTTGACCCATAAAACTTGCTTAACATAAACTTTCTATCCTGAATTTCTTCAATTCCAAGTTTTGAATCCTTCTAATAAAAACATGTACACCATAGTTCACCCAAACTAAAGTTGAATTAATTAATCAAGAGGTGAGTATGCAGGTACTAAATTTGGTTTAAAATAAATAAAAATAAGGTTTCAAATACCAGTTATGATATGCCTTTGCTCACATCAGCCCACTTTCAATACCTTCTCATTTAGGGGTGTCAATGGGGCGGGGATCCTTGTCAAATAACTCCCCCGTCCTCCGCCCTCCCCAGCCCTGCCCCTGCCCCCTATCTCCCACTCCATTTTCTCCTAATATTTCTTAGGTAACTGTTTTGAGTGGTTCTATATAGCAAATACTTGTGTGGACTTACTCAAAAGGCCTACATGTAACGTTGTGGTCACCAAGTAACTAAATCATCATAGTGATACCATATGGATATAGGCTCACATCATATGAGGTCAAATTAATTACTTGAAAACTTGATGGTATTAGGATTCAAGTGCGGAACAAACAACTATTGAGATATTAAGTACATAATAATTTAATGATAAACAAGCCACAAGGATGAAAGATAAACGACACACAATATTTAACGTGTTTCGACTCCACCATTGAACTTACGTTCGCGGAAATAAACCCATTCTTTATTATGAGAGGAAAACGCTATATAAGAAGACAATTTGAACCCAAACCTAATCCTTGTATATTATCTTTCATCTTCCAATAACTCTCTCTCACACTCTATGTATAAGGTTAAATGTTATCCTTGTGTGTCCCTTGTGTAGTATGTTAACTCACCTATTTATAGGGAATATTATTTGGCCAAAACCCAAATAATAACAAGAAATCAGTGCTAATTCTTAGATTTATACAAAATAGGAAATAACTTCTAAATTCTAAACAAAATAGGAAATTCTTTGACTACAATTTCAAGTAACTAAAATCAATTAGAAAACTCGTTACTTCCACACAAAACAAAAAACCTATCTAAAAGAAATTAAACCATTTTCCTAACAAATCTCCACCTTGACGAATATTTCTTTTAACAATCATTTACCTTCAACTATCAAATAATATGGTACCGAACTACACACTCGAATCAATACAGTCCTAACACCAAATTGATTCAATTGGCAAATGAACATGTATAATTATCCCGATTCCAATCTCTAGTTGACTCGTGACAAGGTGTCTCAATTCACCATATCCTTTTGCAAAATTTCTTCTCACTATCACTTGCAATATGAGATCCCCTTTGATGAGCTCTAATCCTAATCATTGAGGTAATTAAGTGATAAAATCACCATATTTCTTTCCATCCTTAGGACTGTCTCACCACGTGTAGTTTCCAAGATTCCACCTAAAAAGAAAACTCGTAACTGTCAGAGTCTTCTGACGTATGGAAATTAGATCTCTTTGTCTTTTTGGGACACAAGCCACACCACCCAAAGAATATAATCAAAATCTAAAATTCACCGGGATGAAGTATTGGAGGTGTGAGAAAGTCTCCACCGATTCACGTCCAAAATCAACATTGGACTCCAACTTTTTCTTGACTCTTGAATCACCTGTCCAGATTCACCGTCAAGTATTTTCATGCTTTTTGCCTTCCCATTCTTCACTATCAATACTTTTTGCCAAGCCATTGAAATAAGGATAACACTCATTAAATTGTTCAATTGGTAACAGTCACAATCCACTTGATCTCAGTAGTCAACCAGGATCCAACCATGAACAACTAAACTCTTGATCCAACCATTCAATTTGTTGGGATCCAAATATTTGTGAGCAACCCAATTTCGCAACCAAATTGTGATACCATTTGTTAGGATCCAAGTACAGAACAAACAACTATTGAAATATCAAGTACACAATAATTTAATGATAAACAAGTCACAAGCATGAAAGATAAACGACATACAGTATTTAACGTGACTCGACTCCACCATTGAGTTTACGTCTACGGAGAGAAACCCATTCTTTATTATGAGAGAAAAATGCTATACAAAAATACAAATTGAATCCACGTCTAACCCTTGTATACCATCTCCCATCTCTCATCTCCCAAGAACTCTCTCTCACATCCCATGTATAAGGTTGCATGTTGCTTTTGTGTGCCCTTGCGTGTTCCTTATATTGTATGTCAACCCACCTATTTATAAGAAATATTATTTGACCAAAACCTAAATAAAAACAGAAAACTAGTGTTAACTCCTAAACTTATATAGAATAAGAAATAAATTCTAAATTCTAAACAAAATAAGAAATTCCTTGACTACTATTTCAAGTAACTAAAATCAATTAAAAAATTAGTTACTTCCACACAAAACAAAAAACTTATCTAAAATAAATTAAACCAATTTCCTAACAGATGGATCTAAGGTCTACAAGTGTTGTCATAAATCTCATCTATGTAAATATTTTCTTGCGAAAAAAATGTGCTTTAATTGACAAAGGGTCAACTCTAAATTGGCTCCGTTATTTCTCTGTTTAGAGAAATTATACAACATATGCTAATAATGGCTCTGTTATTTCTTTGTATTGACACTTTTTTTTGACAATTTTTTTTTACCTTTTTTTTTAGTGCTGGCTCGATAATGGCTTACTCATTTGCAAGCAATCTCTGCAAAGAGCTGAAGTTCCATCAGCTTTTCTCATGAACGATTTATACTGAAGTCCCTTTCTTCTATTGAACTGTTTTAATTGAATGAAGGATTATTTATGGAACGAACCTTATTACAGGAACATCGAGGTATACGTAACGATTCAGGGTAGATGTTAATGTGTGACTTTTTTTTTATCTTTTGGAAACTTTTCTTTTCTTTTCTTTTCTTTTTCAACAAAATTAAGGTACTGTTACTCAGCTCCCGAGTTAAGTGGATAGGATTTCTGATTGCTTTTGTCACGAGAAACAAACTCAAACACCGAAGATGCACCATAAAGCCTGCAAATGCTAGAATTGGAAAAATGGAGAGAGTTAGGATCAAGAAAACTTTTCCAAGAAATAGAAGAACTGAATGACATATGATAAGAAAGAAACATCCAAAATAATATAACAAACCTTACCCGCAATCAGAAGTGACAGTCTTGAGGCACCTATAAAAGGCCTCAATACTAATACACAAAATCCTATAGAAGCAATAATTTATCAAAGTATCAAATCCCAATATAATCATCAATAGCTTGAAAAAAAATGAAGGCTATATTGTATCAGCACTTGTAGCTTTAGCCTTGGTTCAGCTGATGATTGAGCCAGGGCAGGCAATCAAGTGCCCAGAAGTGGATGGATATTTGACCAAGTGTGTTTCCTATCTTAATGCAGGAGGCGAGCCAGAAGCAGCATGTTGCAATGGTGTCAAAAGCTTGGTCGCGGCTCTGAAAACACCCGCAGACAAAAGGGACGCATGCAATTGTGTTAAAGAAGCCGCAAGTCACTTCCCCAATCTCAAGGATGATGCTGCCCTGGCCCTTCCTAGCAAGTGTGGTGTTACCATGGATATCCCCATCTCCAAGAACATCAATTGCGACAAGTAAGTAATTTTATCATGAAAATTAATTAAAGTAAATACCGATCAATTTTATGGTTTTAGGGGTTCCGCTAATTATGGCTACATATTGCTTGTATTGACAGCCTCAAGTAAGATTGGTGGAGGTCGCACTGAAGCAAGAATAAAGAAGGATGCCACATCGTGAAGGGACACTTGGTTCTAGTTCTGGGGCAGCCCTATGTAGCACAAGAAGTTTTTGTTGTTTGTACCCTTTGAATAAGCTTTATCGAGCTTGTTATAATGAAACATGAGCATTTACAATCGCGCGTTTAAGATTTTCAAGTTAATTTTGACAATTTCGTACGTTGTTTCTTCCACAAATTGGTTTTAAGTGTTGGAATTCTAGTTGCTACGACGAACGAATTATGCAAGCAGCTCTCGATTTATAACTAGGCAAGCATCGATCTCAAGTTTTGCCTGTACTCTCCTCCGTGAGTTGAATCATGATCACTTCTAACGATTTGAGACCTCAATTGTCTTGAAAAAATTCATGATGCGAAAATGTTGCGCGAAATAATTCAACCGTTGAAGTTTGTCACCTTTAAGGTTATGTCCGAATTACTAAACCAATGATTAGTTTGAAATATGAATGCACAGCTTACCCAATTTGGCTTCAATTGTTTAGGGATCGATCAGGTGGAATTAAATACGACAGAAATTGAAGCATAACTAAACAATAAAGAAGGAAGTATATTTTTGGAGGAAGTATGCATCTTAAATTATTAATGTTTGCACTTGTTTGAAATGTCTGATGAAATGGTCGGAGTCTGAACTGCTATAGTTCTACAAACATCGTATCAGCATCCTCGTGCGGAATACAAGTCCAACGTTTGTTTGATTGAATTATTATAAGATAGAAATGGGAGAATTTCTTGCAGTATAATATTGGACATTACGCAGGCAAAATGTAAATAAAGGAAACACAGCTACCCTACTCTATTCTGGTTCTGACATCTGACGTTAAGAAGCCATAGGGCTTTTTGTCCCATTCTATACCTCTGCCCTTTCCAGTTTTGGAATATGTTTTTAAGCAAAAACAACAAAAAAAATTGACATTTGAGGACAATATCAACAAATCATGACCTGTCGTACTTTGTTTACCATTGATTTCATTTCCTTAAAATCGAGAAGGACAAGGGGCACGGACAGTTGCAACCGTCCAACGGTTTTGATCATTTTTAACAGCGCGTAATTTTGGTTGCACACGGCGTAATTTTGTTTGCACAACGTGTAATTTTAGTACAAAATTTTATGAATTCCACACACGATGTAAAAATCGATACACAACTTATGATCTGGACCGCACAATTTGTTGAGACCAAATCATGACCATTAACAGCTCAGGAGTGGTCATTCTAGAATGATGACCGCTCCTGCACCGGAAACCGCGTTTCCTGTGAGAAATATTCTGAGTCACTGATGCGGTGGCCTGGTCTGGCTTATAAGGCGTACGTCTGGTACGTGTAGAGATGTTTGTCCGATCCTTTCCTAACACGATTTGACATGCTTCAGTAAATTGATGGTCGGGGAGGAGGCGCAGAAATTGATCCCTTTTAGAATAGCTTTTGATGTGTCATTTAGGGGAACCAAAAAAAGTGCTATTTGTTAGTAGTAGTTGCTTTGGATTTTTTTTTTTTTTTAAAATATGGATTTACCAACCCAAAATAAAAGAACTATTTGCTAGTAGTGTTGCTTTCCTTTTTGTTTGAATCTTTAATCAGGATTCGGGATGGTGATCATAATTATTCAAACATGCTACAATTGAATGTTGTGGATAAAATTCGTATAAAAATTTACCCTCTTAGGACAACTTCTTCCCTTTCTTCTGCTATTGATTGCTAACTTTAGAGCTTCTAAACCGACTGTTACAAATATATGAAATTATACCACAAGGATACACGAAGAAAAGAACTGGTAAATCATACTTTATCCCTAGTATACTGTATCACTAGTTAAATTTGGGATTATTAGAAGAAAAAGGGTCTACATTGTATCAGATATATTTGTAGTTTTGGCCTTGGTTCAGCTGATGATTGAGCCAAGGCGGGCAATCAGGTGCCCAGAAGTGGATGGATATTTGACCAGGTGCGTTCCCTATCTTAATGCAGGTGGCGAGCCAGCGCCAGCATGTTGCGGTGGTGTCAAAAGCTTGCTAGCGCTGTGAAAACGCCCGCAGACAAAAGGACGCATGCAATTGCGTTAAAGAAGCGGCAAATCACCTCCCCAGTCTCAACTCTCAAGGATGATGCAGCCTGAGCCCTTCCAGCTGGCAAATGCGGTGTTACCTTGGATATCCCCATCTCCAAAAACGTCAATTGCGACAAGTGAGACAAATTAAAAACCGAATTAGATTGTTACTACTAGTACGTTCTCTTGTTAGGCAGCGTAAGTTGGTTGCTACGTAAACTAGTTTTACTGACAAATTGGATAGTTTCACTCCGATTTCTTCTTTGCAGCGTTAGCTAAGATGGAGGTGATCATGCATCAAGGAAGAGTAAACACTAGCCAGAGCATTTCAGGCTTGTGCTGTTCGATCATTTGCTGTTTCATTTTAGTTGTGGGATGTTAATTACGTGGAAACTTCTAGCTTTATTCTTACTAAACTTTGCACTCCAAAAGGATGAAAGGCTTGTTTCTTTCAGCTTTGCATGCCAAAAGTTCCACCACAAAAAAAAAAAGGAGAGAGAGGAATAAATGCTCTATTGAGCTTCTTATTTGGTATTGCTTTAATGTGTACTTCTTCTTTCATTTTTTTCCCCCACAAACATAATATCAGGGTGACAAAATAAGTTCTGTATGCAACACCTAATGTCTGAATTCATAGCTCAACTACAACTAGGTCAAGAACCGTAGCTCACAAAATGGAATTAATGTATCACTCGATCTGAAATGTCAACATGAGAAGATCTATTAATCTTCCATTTTGGTTTATTATCAAGGAAAAGAATGCTAACACACATATTCATGTATTTGGAAACAGTTCAAGCATCCATTACTCATTACTCATTCTTTTTTTTTTTCTTTTTTTTTTTTTTTTTTTTGCTGACGGAGTGGGTGTCCGGGTCAAGTCCTTAAAGGCGGCCCGACTAATCCCACTTCGGGTCAAGTCCTTACTCATTACTCATTCACCTTGCAGAGATATATTGATAGATCAAACTCTTTATTTTTTGGCATTTCCAATTCTACGTTTTTTTTTTTACCATGACTATAAAGTGGTTAAATCAGACTAAAAAAATAGCACAACATTATAAAATCAAGAATAGCTTAACCAGAAATCAAGAAACAAGCAAGTGTACTACTATCTTGTCAAAAAAAAAGAAAAAAAAAAAGGAGGAAAGCACTAGTATCTTTAATTACAAATTTCTCACTTTAGTTTTTGGACGTTCAAGTTTTCCTTTTTTCTAGAGAGTCCAAATTCCAAAGTACCCCTAAGTGAGCACTTATGCTTAGCTTTTGGGCCGTTATATTATGGGCTTATCTTAACAAATTAGACCGTATGCATAGATCGACCCGTGTTAGGATCCAACTCAGATCATGGGTCCGATCTTACGAAATTCCACTTTAGCTCCCTCCAGAAACCTTTCCTCTTGTCACTCCCCAGTTAGGCGCATCAATCAAATCTTCCGTTTAACTACTTCAGTTCAATAAGGTCGGTTGGATTTTCCTTTGTCTTTTTTTTTGGGTTATTGTATGCTTTATTTTAGAATTCAAGGTTGTCAAATAAGTGATGTTAAACCATTTTGTAATAATTTTGATCTAGTCCATGTTAATTTTGTTGCATTATGTGTTTCTGATCAGAAATTAGTGATTAATAGTAAGGATTAAATCTCTGGAAGCCAATGTTATTGCTTGACAATTGAGGTGGTTTTTAGTTCTTATTCTTTCTTGAAACTGAGCTGAAAAGTGGAAATGTTAATAGTGGTTTAACAGCGTTTGAATTTTCCCTAAATTATGATAATATTGTTGGCAGTTAATTTGGATGGATCGGTGGACTGGAATTCTGAAGGTGCCGTTGCATCCGAATAGCAGCAGTTTCTATAGAGTTGCTGCGTCTCTGTGCATCTTTTCTTCCACTAAGACTCTTGCTGTGAGTTTTTGTTTCGCATTCATTTTGGTGAAAATCCCTATTAAGGGTAGTGTAAGTTTTGTATTAATGAATAAACAGGACTTAATTTTTGCATAATTTCTATGAAAATGTGCCTACATGATGTACAATCGATTGATGCCCTTCATAGAAGTCATGCCAAAGTTTTGCCCTTATCTGCCATAAAACCTTCACCTCCATGATGGGTAACTTTTCACTGATCACAGGTTTGATTTCTTTGAGCTGTATTATCGGTTATGTTACATAGTTCTTTAATGCGAATTCTCCTTAGGTGTAAGATTTATTATAATCTGTAAGTATAGGGATTAATTATTTGCAAATCCGAGCGATATTTCAAATTGTAAAAGCTTTGATAATTGAAGGCAGTTTTGAGAAAGCAAATGTATAGTATACATGCTTTTGGAGATCATGGTTGAAGAAATATTGAAGGTAACAAACAGAATTTGTGGTATAAGCAGGTGCCTTCTGCGAATGCCATCTTCTTCAATGGGGATCAAGTTGAAGGCACAGGAAATTTTGTGATCGAGAGGTTATCTGATGTCCAGAAAATTGCTGAAATTTTGGTTTCAAAATTTGGGTCTACCATCAATGCTTGGGTTATTGAGGCCAACACTTTTAATGGTCCTTTTGCTGTGTACAAGGATTTTATTCCGACTGTCAACCTCGATGGCGAACCACAATCTTACAATGCAACAGGACTTCCTGCTTCATCATCAATTGTCTTGCTGTTGTCTAATTGTTTAAAAGAGGTAAAACTTGCTGCTTTAATTATGATTTATTCTCCCTCTGTTGTTCTCGTATATTTAGTGATCATATTACTCTATGCTCATTCTCAATGGTTAAAACTCACAGAGCTGTAATCTTGAGCTGTAAAACATTTATTGGAAAATAGTGTTATGTCTCATTTCAATTATTTCTTCACAGAGGACACAAGATTTAGATGCATTCAAGCAATGTCCTTTTATTCTGTCACCTTCAAAACATTTGTTTTTAGGCTTGTCTAGAATGCACAAATAATTAGACCATTGGGTGTGAATGGTCTAGCATATCCTCTTCTTTGTATTGCTTGCTTGATGGTTAACAAGCTGTTTACGTTAAATCTTTGGTCGGAACATGATGGCACTTTGTTGATTTCTTTTAAGTGGAATATAGGTCAATACGTATGTCTTTAAGATGAAATCATGATTCAGGAGTCTGGAAGCTATAGATTACCTAGCTGTGGAGCTTTCTTGGTTAGCAGCAAAAGGCGATTTGATTTGGAGCATAATTTGGCTGATATAACAGAGGTTCAAAGAATAGGAGGTATTGTTTGAGGTCTGCAGCGGAAGAACTATGAAACAAAAGAGACTTTATATTAGTGAAAAACAAACAGGCAATAACTGATGAATCATTGGGTATACTAGGTGGATGAACAGAAAATGCTAGATTTTAATTGAGCAATAAGATCTTCATTCAGAGCAGTTCCTCTTCCAAAGAAGCAACTAAAATCTACTCTTGATTTGGGTGTCTTCTTCAGCTGAATGAGCAGTCTGGGATTCTCTTCTTAATGACACAGAAAAATTGAACAAGAAGGTGCTCAAATAAAAAGAGCCAATGGAATAATCAAACTACTCTTATCATTTATCTTGCTTCCATGCTACCCCAGGGATAGAAGGAACCAGTGGGATTATGCTGCCACATCAGAACATAAGTTCCAAGGCTATGTTTGATTCGTCAACTGAAGATATTCTATTCTTACATTCAAATCCATTTATCTGCATAACCATGTTTGAATTAGTAGCATCAACATTGCCAATAAAGTTGTGGTTTATGAAATTGTTGATGATTGTCTGGAAGTGTACTTGAGGAGAGAGGGTAGGTAAAATTGTGATTGGGCAAAGCTTGCCAAATTTGCAAGAATACTTTATGCTATAGAACTTGCTATAATTTCATATTTGCTCCAAGTTTGTGATCTTCAGATTATTTCTGTGGTTCTAGCAGGCAAAAAGTTCCATGTTAGGGGGACAGCCATATCAGGCTGCACCGTCCGCATCATGTTCCTTTAAACAAAAAACTCTGTTTCTTGGATTTAGTAAGGGTGGTACTGTACTGAACCAGCTACTTACTGAGCTTGGCTCAATGGAAGTCCAACCAACCGTAGCGATAGCAAGCGAAGAAAACTATGATGGATGAAGGAAGTGGTATGTGGGAGGAGCATCAGATCATTCCCACTTCAAAAGAAGAACTCTTAAACAGCATAGCTGAGATTCATTATGTAGATGTTGGCTTGAATTCTGAAGGGGCATATCTTACTAACCAGGATGTGATTGAGGGTATTTCAGATCGTCTTACGCGAAGAACTTTTGGGATGCGGATCATCCTTCATGGAACTCCAAGACAGTGGTCTGATCGTTGGCGAACTTGGATATGCAAAGAAAAAAATGAATTTTTTCGTCTGCTTAAATTAGCAGCTCGGAAGAATATGGGGAAATTAATGCTTCGTGAGAGATTTTATTTTGCTGATAGGCCTCCTAGTTTGCAGATGCATTTTGAAATCATTGAGAATTTGGATGTTAGTTGAGAATTGGTGCTGCGGCAAGTGCAGCTTCCTTAGTGTCCTAATTTGGCGGTGAACTACATTAGAAAAGTACCATGTTGTCTATACGATGATGTAAATGTGTACGTAATTCATGTAAATTTTTGTTTATGCAACTACAGCTTTCCTTGTGAATCGCAGCTTTTGCTTATACAAGCTTTCGCTGTACTGGACAAAAGTTAAGCCAATTTTACTCTCTCTCTCTCTCTCTCTCTCTCTCTCTCTCTCTCTACCGTCTTAATTAATGGAAGTCTACTTTTAGTTATTAATGTTATTATGACAAAAAAACTAACTAATTACACTTTCAGTTTCTAGCTCTTTTACCACTTATCAATAACGTCCATCAAGTTGTGCGAAAAATACTTTCACCTCCAAGGTGGTGGAGCGCAATGGATCTTCTGTCTCACGTCCTCTCTGTCCCACTTTTTATTATATTGCTATTTCTCCTACGTAAATATCATGTTTTAGTTCTTTTTTTGTTTCCTTAAGATCCAATAACTATTAATTGAGTAATATACAAAATTACAAACTCAAAAAATCAAAATGCATAAAAAAATGAGATTTTTTATGAATTTTCTACTATATTTTTTAATTTTCTATTATATATTGCTTTTTTGAAGTTGCTGTATTTATTTTTTACTCAATTAATAGTTATTGGATCTTAAGGAAACAAAAAAAACTAAAACATGATATTTACGTAGGAGAAATAGCAATATAATAAAAAGTGTGACAGAGAGTGGCACAGATGTGAGACAGAAGATCCGTTGCGGTGTTGGAGGAAGATTGAACGTGTAGATTACTCTTTCGGTCTCTATCTCTTTTACCTCTTATCTTGAGTTGGACTAATCAAGGGCAATAAATATTAACGGTGGAGTAATTTGTCATGAGGGAAAGCTTTTGAACCTCGATTAGACGTTTAGTCCAATATGTTGGAGGAAATTTGAACCTGTAGATAATGAAACTTCTAGTTGATATCCTCGTTCTTCATTTCCTTTTCACACATGTAAGAATGAAGTAAACGGGTAAAATCAGAACATTGAATGGAATATGGCCTTGCAAGTTAGAGTGAGGGTTGCAAACGAATCTAATCGAATCGAGTTTTAATATAATCGAGCAGAGATCGATTCAATTTTAGCATGCTCGAACTCGACAAACTTATAATATAAAGTTTGAGTTCGACCTCAAATTTAAGCCTAGTCGAACTCGAATTTAACTCTACTCTAAGTCAAAAAAAATTAAAAAATAAATAAAATAGACAATTTTTTTAATAAATAATAAAAATCTTGAGAATATATCTGTGATTTCACTATCGGACTCACGAGCTAACCAATGAAGCTTCTCCATGCTCAACTCGATGTTGATCGAGTTCGAATCGAACTTTAACCAAATAAACTCGTGGGCGATTTGATTCGTACGCAACTTTAGCCAGAACTAATCTTTTACCTGCTTTCCACATGATTTCCCGTCGTTAATAGTCAAGTAATTCCAAAACAAACCATCATCCAAGACTTGGCCCAGTACAAATTTGAGAAGCAAATGATGCTGCTTATGCAATTTTAATATTATTGAATTAAAAGCCGTACACTTTTGCAATTGCTATCAACACATAGGAATGTAACTAACATAGCTCACCACACTTGGCGAATTCTTGACACCTATCGTCGGGACAAAAAGCCCGGCGTCTTGTTCATTTCGCCGCACAACGACTCTCACTTCCACGCAAATTTAAGGTTTTTAACAGTGCAACAAAGCAGAGACTTTAACTAAAACCAATTATTTGAAGCTGCAACTTTCTTTATTTCCTTTTTTTTTTTTTTGTTTTCTTTGAAGAGTTTCTTAATCAATATAACAATCAATAGGCCCGCACCATATGGCACGAAAACAACTGATAAGCTGTTGCAGACCCCGAACTTGCTTTGGCAGCCGCCAGTTAAGTCAACGACGAGAAATAAAAATGAAGACGGCTTACACATGACAGAACTAGTTCCAGATTTAGTGACTCTGCCCATTTTGTAGTTGGGCACAATCAAAACACAAATTAATGAAAATTTTGCAGTTGGGAACAACATAGAAAGAAAGTACGTTTCAAGCTCTTTTTTTTTCTGTAATTCTTTCTTTCTTATTTGGGTCAAGCGAAACATGCTTCAGATATGGTTCATCTGTTGTGGAGTACCAAGTCGTACCACCATCTAAATCCTATGATTGATCCTCTGTCCGGAAACAATTCAGAAAGAACTCATGATTTATCTTCCTCGAAGGCAGGGGTGCGTAATCAAACTTGTGACGATAGTCCTATAATACAAATTAGAAACATCTAAAACGTTAATCCGACAGCACAACAGAAGTTGAACTTTGGTCGGATGAGTTTGGTGATTTTCAGTTGAATGTACGGTGTTTACTCTTGACCACCAATTGAACAAGTCTCCTGAAACCGCCATTCGAAGGTTAGAGATTGACTATTGAGTTTATGGACTCTGATAGATTAGGGCCATTTGCCAAAGTGAAACAAATGCCAAGAAGTTCTTGCAGAGTTTCACAATCATTTATATATAAAAAACAAAAAAAAATAGACAGAAACTAGTTGGTGAAAGAGAAGCATTTTTAATTAGTGATATGCATTTGGTTTTCTCTCAATTTCGGCCTTTTAATTGGTCTGAGCATAAGGTCGTAGTACTATCTTGAGTTGTCTGTATCTTGTGCCGGTTCACCTTATCTCTTTGTTTGTTGGAATTTCAGATGGTTATACAAGTCAATTTTGTGCATTCTTTTGTGAGATCTTTGTCTTGTCAAGTAGAAATACATCTTTTCACTACCATTCTAAAGAAAGAACGATCGAGTGCGAAAGCATCAATGACAAAATCCCACCATAGTACGAGAAAAGAATAAAGACTTAAGTGGACCGAGTCTAAATTTTAATCATTTGGACGAACTCGTTTTTACAAAAAAAAAATTGCAAATTATTTTCTATTCTACGTAGCTGTTATAACAGATGCAGCGGAACAGAAGAACAAATAAGAACAGACAAGAACAACTTGGGGGAAATCAGATTTTATTAGGGTTGTAATTGGAATAGTTTACAGACTAAAATAAGGTGTATATATATACAACCAAACAGACTGGACCAAAAATAGGCCCAAAACAAGACCCGAAATAAAACAGACACGGTAACTAATATATACCGTAACAGCTTAGCGAAGGTCGAAAATCTAATTCAAGGCATCTCAACAGTAGCCAATAAAGAGAGAAACGTATACCATAAAGTATAGAGGTTAATGAGTAGGCAGGCAGCTTCACTCGACTAAGAAACTGAATAAAGTTTACGTAAGGTATCCTTATGTAACACAACAAATATTCAGTACGTGATTATGTGTAAAATGTATATATTATCACAAAAACTCGAAAGCAACTATGGTGTAAATTTATAAATGCTCAAAATTTTTCTTTGGTATTCAATTTTAATTCTAATCCTGAACCTGATTATTGAAAAGATTCTAAAAACTCTCTTCTAGCTGCTGATTCTAATGGTTCAGTATTTAGTTCCTTGTTCTTCAAACTGCAAGATCTTTTATTATGCTATCTAATCACTACATATCTGCTAGTTTACGAATCTTTTATCACGCCTTGATCATTTCATACCTACTAGGATACAAATAGCATTTGATGCAGTTTGGATTTCTTTTTTTAAAGTAAGGAAGGATGGAATTTTAAGAAGTGAAATGGGGGATAGAGCATTTGAGCTCAAAACGTCTAGTTCTTGAACTTTTAACTTTAGCTACGTTACTAAAATCTCTTAAATAGTATCCTTAAATTTAATTGGGGTTCGCGACGGTGAAGAAAATGGATGGAATAGAAAGAAAAAAGGTTTTTAGTTGTTAGATATCTAATGAAATGGTTGGGATTGAGTTCTTATGCAAAGTATAAAACTCTTTGTTTCATCTGGCCAATATAAATTTAATTTGCAAGAATGCAGAGTATGGAATTCGAGAGTTCCAATTACAAGTTTATCAAACTAGGAGGAGAACACCCGCGCGATGCGCGGTGTAATTTTCAAGCTTGCCCAGAAACATTCAGTTATTCAAATTAAAAAATTAATTATAAAAAGTTACATAAAGGTGTATCAAAATCTTTGCAATAGTTACAAAAAGGACATCAAATATACCCATTTTATTTTGTAACAAAACAATGGCTTCAGAGTTCAACTACTATTTTACCAAATGAAATAAAAAAAAAAAGTTCATGACATTGACAAAATATTCATCCAATCCAATAAGAAAACTTCACGAAGAAATGCCATTGAAGTTTGCAATATAAAACTACATCCTCTAATAAACCATCAAAAAGTCAAGAAATTTGATTTATTGATATCCTTTAAGGATCATCATCATTACAAAGA